ACTAATATATATACGGTTTCTTTATGGAGTGATAAAAATTTTCTAAATTGTTTATGATAATCATTGTACCCTTCATAATATACTAAAGTCATTAACTGTTAAACTTGTTTCCTATATATTTTGCTTTTTTTCCCATCCTTGATTCCCTCTCTCTCGCCCTCTGCCATTTCCCACCCTCCTCTCTGGTATCTATGGTTGCTTTCTATGCCTTTCCCCCCCGAAACACACACATTTTATTGATTCACTAAAGATCTTAATTAATCTAAATATTTTCAATAGCAAGCACAGCTGATATATACACATCCATGAACACAAGTCTGGCTTTAGGCATAAACCTCAGTGAGTAGAATGGACATGCTATAAAGTAGCACCTATCTGGGGCTATATAACTTACTGTAGTCATCAAATAGATATTTTTAATGCATTTTTTTTATTTCAAGAACAAGTTTTCATGGTATTTTTCCTGAAACATTTTTTTAATTAATTAATTTACATACAGTCCCTAAGCATCGTCACAGCATACAAAATGTGATTTCCTATCCAGAATATACTGATAGTGGCTTAATCATGCATGTTATCATCAATAATTTTCCATTTCTAGTTTCATATATATATATATATATGACTCTGCGTTTTCCCACCCTCTTCTCACTCTCTCTCTGGTGTCTACATTTGTCTTCTATTCCTTCCCCCCAACATTTTATTTATCACACAATTTCTTAAATAATCTAACTACTTTCAATAGCAAGTTCAGCTGGCGAGAAATCCCCCCCCAGGGGGGATGGTCATGCCACAATCCCTTCTCCTCCATTCTTCTCTCGGTATCTTGGGCACGCACGCAGACGCGCCCGGTGTGAGTTTTAAGCCACTGGGTCCGGGACGCAAACCGCAGTCGACTACGTGGGAGTCCAGCAACATAGCCATTACGCTAACTGCTGGTCCCGAAATTTAATTTTCCTGATGTAGCACCACCTTGAGAAATTTCTTGGAGATCTGGTCTGATGTTGGTAAATTATTTCATGTTTTATTTTTCTGAGAATATTCTTGTTTTTTTCTTCGCATATGAAGGATAATCTTGTTGGGTAAAGTATTCTTGGTTGAAATTGCTTTTCCCTTAATTCTTTGAATATATTTTCCCATTCTTTCCTCAGTTATATTGTTTCTGGTGAGAGAGGTCTGCTGTTAGCCTGATGGGATATCCTTTGTAGGTAACTTGCCATTTTTCTCTTGCAAATCTTAGTATCTTGTCTTTGTCTGTGGTTTTGGTCAATCTGGCTATAATGTGTCTTGAAGAAGATCTTCTTGGGTTGATTCTATTTGGGGCCCTTTGTATTTCTTAGGACTAGATCTTTGAGTAGCTCTCTAGGTTTAGAAAGTTTTCATGGGACCAGCAGTTAGCGTAACGGCTATGTCGCTGGACTCCCATGTAGTTGACCACAGTTCAAGTCCCGGACCCAGCGGCTTAAACTCACGCTGGCGTGTGTGCGTGCGTGCCCAAGATCCCGAGAGGCAAATGGAGGAGAAGGGATTGCGGTGTGGCCATCCCCCCCGGGGGGTGATTTCTCGCTTTCTATCACTCTCTCTCTATCTTTCTGGCGAGCGCATGTGCCCTATAGCAAAAACCTCTCCAAAAAAAAAAGTTTTCTTGCAGGATTTCATGGAATAGATTATCAAGGCCCTTATGAGTCTCTTCACCTTCTGGGATACCAGTTATCTGGATGTTTGGACATTTGATAGTATCTAGTATTTCTTGTATATTATTCTCATTTTTTTGGCCGTTTTCTCAGACTTTGTGGTGGATTTTTATAGGCCAGCAATTTTCTCTTCTATACCTGAGATTCTATTCTCTGTATGATCTAGTCTGTATTATAGCCTTCCTGTATTATAGCCTTCATCTCTAACAGGTCCATTTGATTCTTTTTTAAAGTGTGTAATTCCTCTTTTAGATCTTGTAAGAACTTCCTCACCTCCCGGAACTCGTCAGCTCCTTTTCTGCCTCTTCCACAGTTCATTGTCTCTTTTCTCTTCCATCTCTGTTGGCTTCATCATTATGAATATTCTAAATTCTTTATCAGACATTTCCGTCATTTCCATGGAACTGTCTATGGATGAAGACGAGCTATTCTTTTCCCTTGGAGGAGAGGTATTTTCTCATTTTCCCATGTTTCTTGTGGTCCTGCGGTGATTTCTATTCATCTGATGGATGGTGTGTTTCTTCCTAAACTTGAAGTTCAATCTGAGCGTTCCGGAGCATACAGAAAGAGGTGATCTGAAATCTCTTTGCCGTTCTGTTCTGATCCCTTTGCATGGCAGATTCAGTAGATATTGAAGAATATGTTAACCCTAATAGTATTTGGATGTTTGGCTATAGTTCCCTTAGATCTGTCTACAAACACAGTGAATGAAGATTGAAGAGCAGAGAGATGAGATAAAAGAAAGAAAAAAGGAAACAGAGAAAGAAAAAACAACAACCAAGAAACAGAAAAAAAGAAGAAAAAAAAAACTAAAAATTTTTTTTTTTAAAAAGTAAAAAATAGAAAACTATGCAGTACAAAATCACTAGTTCTCAGGAGCCATGAAGGTGTCTTCTTCTGAAGTCCTGTCCCTTGCCTCTCCTGGATGGGAGAGGGAGAGGGGACTCTTAACAAGATAAAGATAAAAGAGGGGCTGAAAGCCAAGAAAATACTTTACCTTAATAGATTTTAAAAAAGAAAAATTACCAAAAAAATTAGAAGATAGAGAGAGACAGAGATAGAGACAGAGACAGAGAGAAGGTGTGGGGGACTTCCTACCACTAGAGTTTGTGGGCTAGAGGCTGAATTATCAGTAGAAAAATCTTCATCTCTCTCTCTCTCTCTCTCTCTCTCTCTCTCTCTCTCTCTGGAGAGGTTTTTGCTATAAGGGATGTGCACTCACCAGACAGAGACAGAGAGACAGAAAGTGAGAAATCACCCACCACGGGGGATAGCCATGCAGCAATCCCTTTGCCTCCATTCTCCTCTTGGGACCTTGAACACATGCGCCTAGCATGAGTTTAAGTTGCCGGGTTCGGGACTCGAACTATGGTCAACTACATGGGAATCCAGCGACTTAGCCATTGTGCTAACTGCTGGTCCCACCTTCATTTTCTTTTTTCCCTGAAATCACTAGTTCTCAGGAGCCATGAAGGTATCTTCTTCTCTACATTATGATTTTTCAAGATATGTATGCAGTATATGTCAAAATATTACCATCCATACCATTCACAACAGATAACTTTACATTCTTGTGTCTATTATTTTTTATTCCTAAGCCCCTTTCTCCCATCCCCTCCTATCCAATCTATCCTATATAGTCTCTAATATCTGCACTTGACCTCCCTGCTATTATATTTTCAAATCTTTCCATTTCTGCCATAGAGATTACACATTTGGTATATGTTGAGTGGGGACTTACAATGTTTGTCTTTCAGTCTGGTTTACTTCACTAAAGTATAAATCTTCACTAAAGAAGTAAATCTTCTACATTCATTGACTTTGTATCAAATGACAGGATCTCTTTTTTTTCATGACTGAGAAGTAATCCATAGTGTAAATGTGCCACATTTTTTTCAATCCAGTCATCCATTCTTGAGCATTTAGGTTGATTCCATGTCCTAGCAATTGTGCATAATGCTACAGTAAACATGGATGTGCAAATGTCTTTCCAATTGAGTGTTTTCCTATCCTTTGGGTAAATACTCAGGAGTAGTATTACTGGGTTGTATGGTAGTTTTCTTTCTAGTTTTTTTTTTGTTTGGTTTTTGTTTTAGGTTTTTGCCACAGAGCATTTACACTCGTTGTAGAGAGACAGAAAAAGATAGAGAGAGGGAAAGTGAGAAATCACCTCCCCCCCTCCCCCAAGGAAGATGGCTACGCCACAATCCTTTTTCCTCCATCCTCTTCTTGGGATTTTGGGGTATGTATGCACATGTGCCCACATGATTTTTAAGCTGCTGGGTCCAGAACTCAAACTGCAGTTAGCCATGTGGGCATCCAATGCCTTAACCACCATACTACCCACTGGGCCTTATGTCTAGGTTTTCTGAGGAGCCTCCATATTGTTTTCTACAGTGACTTACATTCCTACCAACAGTATAGGAGTGTTCCCTTTCCACCACAACCTTGCCAGGACTTGTCATTCTTTTTTTTTTTTTTTTTTTTTTTTTTTAGATTTTTGCCATTCTTACTGGAGTTAAGTGTTATCTCACTATGGTTTTTATTTGCATTTCTCTTATGATAAGAGAAATTGAGCATTTTTTCATATGCTTTTTGGCCACTCATAGGTCTTACTTAAAGACTTACATGTTCAGCTCATTTGCTCATTTCTTAATTGAATTATTCTTTTTATTCTGGGTAGATGAAGTGTTTGAGTTTCCTATGTATTTTATCAGTCTCTTATCTAAAGCATAGTTTGCAAATATTTTCTCCCATTCTCAGGATTGCCTTTTCATTCTAATTATTGTTTCCTTTGCTGTGCAGAAGCTTTTTAGTTTCATGTAGTCCCACTTGTCTAGTTTTTGGATTGTTGCCTGTGCTTTTGAGGTCTTAAGAAATGTTTGCCTACTCCTATGTCTTCAAAAGTTTCCCTGGTGTTTTCAAATAGTAGTTTAAGGGATCTTTGATCTATTTGGAGTTGATTTTGTTAATGATGAGAGATAGGGGTCCAGTTTTATTTTTTGGTAGGTGGATATCCAGTTCTTCCAGTACCATTTGCTGAAGAGACTTCCTTTTCCCCACTGGATAGTCTTATACCCTTTGTCAAAAATCAATTGACTATATACTTTGGAGTTTATTTCTGAATTCTCTATTCCATTCCTTTGGTCTACATGCCTGTTTTTGTGCCAGTGCCATGCTGTTTTGATTATTGCAGCTTTTTAGTGTATTTTCAGGTCAGGATGTGATATTCCTCCTACTTTATTCTTTTTGGCACAGTATCACTTTGGCTTCAGGTGGTTGGCTCCTCTCTGATTTTGTGAGTAGAAAAATATGGAATGCATCATAAATTTGCATTTCTTTCTTGCACAGGGGCTATGCTAATCTTCTCTGTCATTTTGATCATGGTATATGTGCTGCTGAAGCAAGCACTGTTACCATTTTGAAAAAGAAAAAAAAAAAGGATCATCTCTGTAGCGTAGCCATTAAGCACTGTATATGCAGACCTAGATTCCACGTGACCAACTGTGGTTCAAATCCTGGCCTCAGTGGCTTAAAAGACATGTCAGGTACATGTGCCTGTATGCCCCAAATCTTTGCAGGATGAAGAAACAGATTAAAAACGACTGCAGTGGGACCAGCAGTTAGTGTAATGGCTATGTCGCTGGACTCCCACGTAGTCAACCGCAGTTCGCGTCCCGGACCCGGTGGCTTAAAACTCATGCCAGGTGCGTGTGCGTGCGTGCCCAAGATCCTGAGAGGAGAATGGAGGAGAAGGGATTGCGGCGTGGCCATCCCCCCTGGGGGGGTGATTTCTCGTTTTCTATCTCTATGTCCCTCTCTGTCTGTCTGGCGAGCGCACGCGCCCTATAGCAAAAACAGATCCAAAAAAAGAAAACAGAGACTAGAGTCTCTGTTAACTCTCTCTCTCTCTCTCTCTCTCTCTCTCTGTTGTATGCACCCTCTGGCAGTAAAAAAATAGAATAAAATAAATCAATAAAAAGAGGAAAGTGCTCTTGAAGAAACAATCTGCATCTGTCAAGGAGCACTCCACTTGGACTACAGGAAAACAAGAATGCAGAGGTCTGCAGGCTAGGCTTTAGGGCCACTGGGCACTGTTCCTAAGAAATCACAGGGTATGAAACAGAACTACTGGAGCTAGACAGTGGCATAAGGGTAAAATGTGATGCTCAGCAAAGCTGACACATGTGGGAAGGATCTAGCTTCACTCCTGGAGATCTTTCTGAATACTCTAAACATGTGTGTGCCCACATTCCAGGATTGGCTGAGGCTGGGAATGGATCATGGATAAAGACCTTGTCGAGGGTGCTGTCTCTCTCTCTCTCTCACTCACTCACCTATGAAACAAACAAATAAACCTTAAAAATAAATAAGTAATAACTATAGGTGCCTGTGACATCTGTAACATGTCCCCTCCTATTCTGCAAGGCCACCAAGAACATGTAACTCTGCTATAACCAAACCTCTACCTAGTCACAGATGAGAGGAGTGTGCCTCTTTTTCGAGGAGTCCCAGGTCACAGAACACAGCAGAAATCAACTGGAATTATCTCTGTAGCAAGGTGATCAATACCCTGACCCCGGAAATGAGCAAAGAGATAAGGAAGAAAATTAGGTGATTTGGCAGAATATCACACCAAGTTCCGAAGTTAGGAGACAGATTTTTTTTTTTTAATCCAGACCAGAAGCAAAACTAGAAAAACTAGAAAAACAACCCCCAGGGAATAGTTTCTAATAGAGACAGAAGAACTACATTTCTACATGAACGAGTTTCACAGAAAGAATAAATAACTATTGTGATATAGTGGAAGATCCAGCTCTGTGGTGCAGCAGTTAATGTGCTGCTCACAGAAGTTAGATCTCACATGGTGACTGCAGTTCAAATTTCTAGTCGTGTCAGCCTCAAACACCCTGAGTATGCACGCAACTGCACAAGATCCAACAGGATGGAGGACTGGAGGAAGGGGATTGCGACCTGACCAAACGCTGAGCATGAATAAAGAAAAAGAAAAGGGAACAGCAGATGACATAGTGGTTAAAGCACTGGATTCCCACGTGGTTGACCACAGTTTGAGTTCTGGACCTGGTGACTTGAAACTTACACTGGGTGCATGTACATGTGCTCAAAATCCCGAGAAGAGACTGGAGGAGAAGGGATTATGGTATGGTCATCCCCCCTGGAGGGTAATTTCTTGCTTTCTTGTTTCTTGTTTTTTAAGTCTCTAAAACATACTCAATGTATTAGCAATGTCTGTTTTACCAAAAAAGATAGGAAAACCAACTTGAATTGGCTCTTTTTTAAAGTAACTTATTACTTTATGTAACTGAGCCAATCTGATCAGATTGAGAAGCTCACATGGCATCTACAGGCCCATGTGTATCTTCATGTGCACACATGTGTCTGTGTCTCTATGCAGCTTTCCCCCACACAAGTTCCATTACTATAGTAGCCTCTCTTCATAGAGAAGGATGAAGGAAGTATGCCTGTAATTCCAGAATTATATGCCATCTTGTTAAAGACCCTGAAGGGGTAGAGGAAAAAAAAATATTCTCGCTAAGGAGCTCTGCATAAAGTAGTATTAAGTCCGCTGAGGTTGATTTGGATCATATTCCCATTCCTGTATCAATCACCATAACAAGGAGGTGAACTAAAATGATACTCTCCTATATCCGAGTAATTGGGCCAATTTTTCAACCCAAGTAAAGAACAAGGTTGAAATGTGTTTAAAATGCTTAATGTAAGGTTCCTTTAAGTACATTCTCTGTATTTTGATTCATATTACAAGTCTACCAATAATTTCCAACTGCTTTCCTGGATCAAAGATTATTCCCTTTTTAGAATCACGATAATTTTTGATACAGAATCAAGCAGGGATCTAACATCATTCAGGAAAGAAAATAACCTAAAAAGTTTAAATAACTTGTCAAATAAAATAAAGATCATTAGTATTTAAAGTTTTTATGTGTGTAGAAACTTAGCTGCAATACCTCACCACAAATTTCTTCACATTACACCAACCTCCAGCAAAACGAATTTCACATCTTAGAGATGTACTTGAATATCCTGGACCACACTCAAAAGTGAGCTCAATTTGCAGACCATTTCAGAAAGCCAGACAGTATATAGTGAAAAAAATTCAGGGTGCGGGAGATGCAGGATACGAACATAAGGCCACAATCCCAGAGTCCAATGATACTGCACACAGCTAATTTACTATTAAGAGATTAGCCACAATTACTGAAAAAGCCAGCCAACATTTGAACTACCCTCTCATAGATTATAAGAACTGAAACCACATTTCTTTCATCAGTCTGTGGTTTCTAGCATACTATAAACTCTGTACTTACTGCTGGATTTTTAAAATAGATTTCAGGTATGGCTGACTCTAAAAATCTGCTTGTATCTGCAGCCTTCCTTTCCATTTTCCCTCAAGAAACCACAATGAAGTGACCCACTTCTGTCACAAAGACCATTCCAGACATATGGGCTTTGACTACGACTTCTTGCCCTGGGGGTTTTGCACTGTGTATATATAATACCTTCTTCCCTCTAATTCATTGCCCACCTACTCCTTCCAATGATAAACCATTCTACTGTCAACTTTTTCCAACTTGGAACATTCCCATGATGCTGGAGTGGCTATATTAATATCAGAAAAAGTGAATTCAAGAAGAAAAGGATTATGAGGCACAAGAAGAACATTTCATGTTGGTAAGAGGCAATGCATTAGTAGTATATAGTGATTATAAATGTATGTGCACTTAATGAAAAAGTTTCAGCCTATATAAAGCAGAAATGACATAAGAGAGACATAAGTCCCTGGACATAAATATTTTCATAAATAAATAATAAAATAAGGACCACCCCCTTTACTTAGGGTTAAGAGAACCAGATCCTAGGGGCTAGCAGGTGGCATTGTGATTAAGGTGCTGGATGCCACACAGACAACCACAGTCCAAGTCCTGGACTGGCAGCTTGAAAAGCACGCCAGGTGTGTGTGCATGTATGCCTAAAATCCTGAGAGGAGAATGGAGACGGGGTTGTGGTGTGGCCATCCCTCCCAGAAGATGATTTCTTACTTTCCCTCTCTCTGTCTCTCTCTGGAAAGCACGCACACCCTATAGCAAAAACCTAAATAAAAGAGAGAGAACCAGATCCCACATGGCTGAGGACATGGCTTGAGTACCAGCTCAGGTGGCTTGAAAAACAGGCCAAGCACATGTGTGTACATTCCTCATACCCCAACCAGACAAAGAAATGGAAGAGAAGTGATTGTGGCATGACCATGTGCTACCAGGGAGTGCTTTCTCCCTCTCCTCTCCTCTGTCTCTCCAGTGAGCACAAGTACCCTCTAACAATTAAAAAAAAATTTTTTTAATCGCAATAAGGGACCAGCAGATGGCATAACGATTGCACCACTGGGCTCCCATGCCATCTACCATGGTTTGAGTCCTCGACCAGGTGGCTTAAACTCATGCCAGGCATGTGTGCGTGCATGCCCAAAATACTAAAAAAAGAATGGAGAAGGGATTGTGGCAGCGCCATCACCCCCAGGAGTGATTTCTCGCTTTCTGTCTCTCTATCTCACCAGCAAGCACATGTGCCCTATAGCAAAAATCTCTCTTTAAAAAAAAAAAAAAAAAAAAAAAAGCAAAAAAAAAAAAAAAA